GTGTTTTCTGTTTATGTGTTGTGTGTTTGTGTTTCATCATCGCCCGTCTGGGCAAGATATAGGGTGGCTAGTCGCATTAGTTTTCGACTTTGATCATTCGTGCCTCGTCCAGCCATTGGTTTTACATGGTTTGGACTCCACGTTTCTTTGTGCAGTTTGGTTGGGGTGGCAATTAACGCCTCTCTTCCGTTTTGGCCATGAACGTTCTTCAGTCTTACCTTTTGTGGTCAGCGCATTCAGCCGTAGTGTGCCCGTCGTCCTGTCCCACTGAATTTTGCGGGAGTAATTCTGGACTCTCTTGTGTCGCCACCCTCATTCCTCCAGTCGTAATACGCGCTTGCGCGCGAAATAGAGTGGTGTGTGGCGTTGATATTGATTTATTTTGTTTTTTGTGTTAAAACATGGTGCTTTGCAGCACATCTTGCCTAGCTATATCCCTCCATGGGTATAACCTTGTCATTGAGTTGCCACTAGTTGTGTTTCCGCGTCATCGGAATCACCTTTTGTCTCAATGGTGGTGTGGGGGGTCGAGTCGGGATATTCTTACAGCTCCCCTTTCCTTTGGATACACTTGTGAAGCGTCATATCTTTCGATTCATGATCCTAAATCATCAGCTATTAGTAGCCTTAGAAATTGAGTATAGAATCTTATTAGATGATCTTCAGGGTGGGCTAGTGTTAAGGAGTGTTGCTGTATGGCACAGATAGGGTACACAGTCGGTCTAGATTAAGATGGGGGACGTCAGGAGGTATACCCTCTTAGGACGTACCCCATCGGGACTTAGCTATCTGCGTGCCCCCAGGTTGAGGGCAATCCGCCTCACCTCAGACCTGTAGCAGACCCGCTTCTGCAATAACAAGCAACCTTCCCATCTGAACGTGCTCGTGGACAAGAGTGTTTACGGCAGAATCTACATCTACTACATCTAGGAGGCAAGCCACCGTCGGGCGGGCATTCCTTTGAATCAAACACCCACCCGACAAAGGACAAACGGTACTGCAAGTGAAAGCGATCTGCCCTCTCCCTCCGCCGCCCACACACGAACGATCTTACACCAACCGCCACTAACACACAATCGATCGCTCTTGCACATGTGGAATCGGGGAGGGACCGCGGGCTGTCCCTCAAAGGGGACTCTTGTCCCATTCAGCCATCTTGGTTCTAATCTTCGCAATATTTTTTTTCCAGAAAACCGACCATTTCCAGCGCCGTGCTGTCGCCGCCTACCGCCTCTGCTTTGGCTTGTTGGAGATTTTTCGTAGCGGCTTGGAAAGATTTGAACAAGGTGTCGAAAAACGCCAGTTTTGGGGTCTTTTCATCTACGATGCCCCGCGAGGAAGGTGCTGTGGTGAGGGCGGGTTCGGACGCTGGCCGAAACAGCTCGCTTAATCCGCCGGGGGGCAGTCCAAGGCCAGAAGCCACTGAGTGCATGGCAACCGCGGCGTTCTTAGACTGCCTTTTCTTGGCCTTGAGGTGGGCGTTGTCCTCCCTCGCTCTGCGTTTGGGGTCCTCTCTCCTCTTCGCGTCAGCAGCGGCTCCCTTGGCGCCGGTAGGGCCGGCGGCCGCCCCCCCACGCCGCTGCTCTCCCGTTGCACGTCTTCGGGCAGGAGCCGGTCAAACTCGGCGAGGATCTGCGGGTACTTGACCATGACCTGTCCAAAGTAGTAGGTGTCCAGGTTTTCTGATATGTTGACGTTCAGGGTGTTTCGACCAGGGCGAGTCGAAGGGGAGGCGGGAGGTGCGATCGTTAGACGGTAATAATGTGACATCGAGCGGAAGTGGACGTCACCACGAAAGTATATCGTCGTGCTGGAGCTTGCAAGCGGAAACGTACTACCCGCTGACGTCATTTAGAGCGCACACGTATTTGTGGGAGGAACGTACTGGTGATATCGATGCATCGCCAACATGAAGAAAAATAGGGTTTTCAAAGGCATATTGAAACCCTTTGTGATGAGGGGAACCACAGTAGGTCGGGGGGGCGGGGGCGGGGGAGCTGTACTTTGTCGGGCGTTCACGACCAACAGAGGAACACTTGCACATTACATGACCCAAAACTAACAAGGGCGAAGAGCCCGAACAGTACTCATTTCTCGACGAACCACGTTCCGAATGACCACGACCGGTACTTTTTATCGCTGCAACACAACACCTGTTGGTACAAGGCAAGTCCCCTGCTTGTGATTGATTGACGTGTGCCGTGGTTGAGGAATGTTTGATCGACGTTATTTGCATTATCTGACCTGTTGTTCCAGCATCGTCCCAAGTATAGTACGGTGCACGCTACAGAAATATCATCCAACTACATTTCAACACGACACTTGGACCAACCACTGTCTTTTCCCTAGGAGTACCCCCCCGACACGTGCCGTTATCTCTACCACCTATTGCACAAGGGCCTTCACAAAAAAAAAAACAGACCTTACCACGGCAGAAGGAGTACCATTCGTCGTGACTCCCACACTTCAGGTTATGGTGGCAGTCGCCATAGTCCTTATTCACCTCTTTCACCATGTTCATGAACGTGTCGTACGAAATGTCGGGCTGATGGACTATGTTCGGGTCGATCTGTGCCGCGGTGATGTGCTCGTCGTCGTTGAGGTGTGTGACCACCTGCAGCAAAGCAAGAGGGCGTTGTTGCTTTGTATATATGTGGGGGGGAGAACAACAGGCCGATAGAATTTGACGAAGCGCATCGATTTTTTTTTCGATACCTTGAAATGAGCGCTGGCACACGTTCTTGCTGCTGGGTAGGACGTCAACAACTCGTTGTCACTCAAAAGGGTTCCTCCCCCTAAAGCTCCTACCCACTCTCCTGCGGTCCTTGCCTTCGACAAAAATGCGAGAAGAGTGCACACAAACTAGCGCCAGGACGGGCGCGAGATAAAAACTCACTTCGCAATGAATCTCCCTCTCGACGGGATTCAAACCCCTGACCCTGGGTGCTAGATTGCTGTGAGCATGCGAACTAGACTTGAACGTAACCTCAACAAAAATACGTTCCTGCCGNGAAATGAGCGCTGGCACACGTTCTTGCTGCTGGGTAGGACGTCAACAACTCGTTGTCACTCAAAAGGGTTCCTCCCCCTAAAGCTCCTACCCACTCTCCTGCGGTCCTTGCCTTCGACAAAAATGCGAGAAGAGTGCACACAAACTAGCGCCAGGACGGGCGCGAGATAAAAACTCACTTCGCAATGAATCTCCCTCTCGACGGGATTCAAACCCCTGACCCTGGGTGCTAGATTGCTGTGAGCATGCGAACTAGACTTGAACGTAACCTCAACAAAAATACGTTCCTGCCGGCTAACGGAAACGGTATACATTCAGACCTCACCTCCACGTCCGTGTCCTTGAAGTCCTTCCATAGCTCAAAGTATACCGACCGCTTGTTACCCGTCTCCTTATTGTCGAGCTCCGTCCTAGACAACTGCGTCCTGCTCGCGGCAAGGCGCTCCCTGAAGCGCTCGGCGACCATCAGCTCCACCGCCCGGGGGACGCAATGCTTGCTCTTCCTTCGGCCGGCGGTGGTGACGCCGGCCCCTGACGCGCGGTCTTCATCCGCTATCACCTCCAAAACGCGACTGGCGAGGTAGGCATTCTCTTCCCAGTCCATCATTTTCTTCGGGTTAATGCTCGCCCCACTGCGAATGGCGCTACGCACAGCCAAAACCAGGGCCTCCGGAACCTCGACGGTCGCTGGTGACGCCTTNCCCGGGGGACGCAATGCTTGCTCTTCCTTCGGCCGGCGGTGGTGACGCCCGCCCCCGACGTGCCGTCTTCATCCACTATCACCTCCAAAACGCGACTGGCGAGGTAGGCATGCTCTTCCCAGTCCATCATTTTCTTCGGGTTAATGCTCGCCCCACTGCGAATGGCGCTACGCACAGCCAAAACCAGGGCCTCCGGAACCTCGACGGTCGCTGGTGACGCCTTTAGGGGCTTGGAGGCCGGGGTCTCACCTGGAAGCACGCAGGTTGACAACCATGGGAGGAGCAGAGAGGTGTCATGAAGAAAAGCGGTTAGGGTTGGAGAATTCGTGCACATGGCATTGGTGCTGATGCAGCCGTAGGGGCATGCACCAAAATAGCGCGAAGTCTATCACCTACATATGCTCTTTCGTCGTGTGTGTGAGAGAGAGCGGGAGAGAAAGAGAAATTGTACAGAGAGAGGTAGACGAGCTGTGGGATGAGAGAGGGGAAAGTCTAACGCACAGAAGGGTTCCCACCTGTTGCTTTATCCTCGAGATCCGCGTAGTAGGGGCTTGGGCGCCCACACACCTTGTCGACATCGGCTAGGGCCTTCTCCAACNGGCTAGGGCCTTCCCCAACACTAAGCTGCTCCTCTCCCTCGAAAGGCCGCAAAATACCTCGCGCCTGGATAGAGATCTGTCGGAGGCTGACAGGCCACGCTGAGTACGGCTTGTTTTGGTGGCGTTTGAGGGACCTCTGGGTCTCGGAGGACGCCACCGACTGCTGCGGCGTTGGGGATGGAGATTTCGCCCTCGACGGCGTGTTACTCTTGTCCATCACAACAGGGAGTACCGGTACATCAAGCGCCGTGCGCGCTGAGATTCCGGTTGCCGCGCCGTTGTTGCTGGAAGGGTGTTCTGTGTCGAAGGAGTCGTCACTACTGCTGTCGCCACCGGTACCATCATCGCCGCCGACATCATCGCCGCCGGCACCAATGCCGACGACCTCCTCGTCCCTCATGATATCAACCAGGGTTTCCGCCATCTTCGGAGGACCTGATGACCCAGCCCCTGTGGCGGCCCTCGCCGGAGGGGGAGATGGATCAAGGGTGTGTAGCGCCGACGAAACGCCAGAGATGCCTGGGAGTATTCCACGCGCGCTCGAACCCTCGCCGGCAGCAGCGCCGAGATGGCCCTCCCCTCTGTATCTGGCTGGGGTTGCAGCCACCCGGTGACCAGTAGCCCGTCCCTTTGTGCTGTCTGCCATGGTGTCTTGGTTGCGGAGGTGTTGACGGCGAAGGTGTTGTGTGTGTGTGTGTGTTGTGCTTGTTGGCACCAGGCAAGCGGCGAGATAATTTTGAAAATTTGGAAGACCAGGTACATACAGCATGTATATTTGGCGCCAAAGCATGGATCCCACGTGTGTCAGGAATTTTGACACGAGCCCGAAATTTTGACACGAGACCAGAATTTTGACACGAGACCTCAGAATTTTGACACGAGAGGTTACGCCGCATTTTTTCATGTCAGAATTACAGGTCGAAGTTTTTCGAAAACGTGGTCAAAATATTTTCACCTGAGGTATTTTGGACTGAGATAGAGACAAATTGACACGAGCGCCATCGCACACACACGAAGGCATCAACTCAGTCGGCAAGCTCGCACGCAGCTGCCCGCACACCCACACACGTGAACACAACGCTCCCGGGAGTACATCGCGTTAGGGGAACGTCAAGCCGCGGTTAGGATCGTGTGCGTTCATCGCGGGATCGAGAACAAAACACGCCGAGGTTGGTCTGTCTGGACTCTGGACTCGAAGCACACGGGANCCGCAAGGCCATCGACGTCAAGCTTCGCCTCGCATCAAAACTAACCGAGGAGCAGCTGGGACAAGTGAAGCAGATGACAAGTGAGAAGATTGAACGCGTTGGAGTCGGTCTACAGTAGCTCCCGTCGTATCCCACGGTTTGTCATTGTTGGTAGTCATAATGCCGCATGACGAACGGCCCTTGAAGCGTGGTACTGCTGTCGCCTCCACGTTGTTACCCTGTTTGTCGGTGACCCGCCACTTATTTTTGTGCTCCCGGCTCTCCCATACGGCGCAGATCATGGGATGAAGCCAAGAGAGGTGACAAAGCAATGAAGGCGTTGCACGAGGACAGCGACATCGACATCAACAAGCGCGCGGTGCAGAACGCGGCTGCCACTGTTCACGGGGCGGAGAAGCCGAGAGATGCCGCCGATGCGTACGAAGAGGTGTGTCCATGTGTCCGTTGAGACTGTTGCCTCTCTTGTTTGTGTGTGGGATGTTGGGTTTTGCCCAAGGCGGTAACCGGGCGACGAGACACACGATCGCAGGTGACAACCGGGAGAATATATTTCCCATGACACCAAACCAAGAGATGTTGGCGGTAAAAAAAGTGTGCCGTGCCGTCGTCGTGGTTTTGCGCTGATGCCCTCGATGTTTCCGGGCGCTTAACATGTTGCACTTTCAGGTCATGGCCGCGACGGCCGACGGCGGAGTGTGCGAGATCAAGATGGATGACAGCGGCCGCCTGACGCACATCTGGTGGCAAACGAGAGAGCAGGTAGGTCGCCGGTCGTTGTGCCCCATACGAATATTCCCCAGCCGGAAGGTTTGCTTTCATTTTAGCATCTCGCACGTACAGCTTGGCCGTCCGCAAATGTAGGACGTCTGACCGAAAGCAGGCCGTAGGCAAGGGTGGGGTGCTTTGTGACGCGTCCAACACACGTCATACCCACAATTTAGTGCTCTCGACCCCCTTCGACGTCATGCTCCGAATACGCAGGTGGTGCTTTGGAATCGGTACGGTCACGTTGCGCTCTACGACGACACCGCCGTCAAGAACAGATACCGGATGCCCCTCGGTGTGCTCGCTGTCATCGATTCAGAGTATCGGACGCGGATCGTCGGCCAAAGCATAACGGCGGACACCACAACGGACACTTTCCTGTGGATGTTGAAGAGTGCGTTGGAGTCTCGCGGGGGGAAGCAGCCGGATATCTTCATCCAGGACGCGGATGCGGCGATGACGGCGGCGGTGCGCGAGGTGTTCCCGGACGCGCTGGCGAGGCGCTGTTTATGGCACCTCAACCAGAACATCATCAAGGCCCTCGCTAAAGTCCTTGGTGGGGAGATGAAGGTGCGCTCTACTGTGTGTGTTGGCGTGGTTAGTCTGGCCTCTCGTATTGTCCTGGTCGCGCGACGTACGCTCCCCCTCCCCCACTCCCGCTTGAATCCCCCGTGCAAGTTGGTGCGTTGTCATGGATGAGTGGCGTTGTCGTCTACTCGGAAGGGTGATATCCAGCGTATCTGCGTAGACCGTGATGCGGAGACGACCTCGGCTTCGACGGAAACATACCTCACGACGTCCAGTGCACACAGGAAAAGCGGCAGCAGC